AAATATTTTTTGATAAAGTCATCCCTACAAAATATTTTAATTTGAAAATAGTCCTTAACCTAATTAGAACTTCTAATTAGATGAGATAGTACATTTATTTCATACTCAACATATTAGTCATGTATTTCTAATTACATCCGATACAATTTCTAAACCCTAAGTTGTGTACTTATTCATATTACATATATCTGGTTCTCAAATTTCTTACGAATATAATATAATCAAAAGTTGAGAATTGGAAATGCAATTTGATAAAAGACACAATTGTTGACATCAAAATTGTGTCTGAAGTAATTGCAAATCTAAAACCAAGCTATTGAGTACAAAATAAATATGTTATCTCAACAACTTAAAAGTCTAATATATTTTACGTGCTTTAACAATTTATTTTCTAATCTTCTCATTTTTATAAAGTTTCATTGTAGTTTTAAAATAAGTTTTTTTAATCTTCTCATATTCTAAAAAATATAATCAAACTGACTGCTTCGATTTAAATATATCATAAAAATATGAAATTTATTTAGAAGTGAAGAAATATCTTATTAATTGCTTAGGGCCAATTTAGTGAATTTTGGAGAAATTATAAGATGTGGGTTATGAAAACTCAGAGAAATGATATGGACTTTGTAATCTGAAATGATTTTATTTGGAGAGATTTAAATTCAAGATTTAATTAGTGGTAAGAAAAGGTGACTGGCAACGGGAGTGGTTGGCAGTGATAATGGTAGCGAGTGACGAAGAATGATCAATACTTGAGAGAGATATCAAACCCCCATATTGATATCTCACAAATTTGGGAGATACTGAGACCATCAATTTTAAAGATTTATGATATCTGTAGATATTAAATTTGATAACTCTTTTAACTTCACCAAACACCAGAAAAGGATAAGGATATCTAGAGATATCAAAATTCAAAACAAATATTTTTTTGCTCACCAAACACACTTTTAGAAGTTTGTAATAATTGAATAAAAAATTATATATAATTAGAAAATAATTATTATGAAAATGAATTTCTATATTCTCTTCCATAATTAATTGTACCGAAGGACTTCATACAATAATATTAACTTCTTACTTTCTATAATATATTTTACGTGTCAGAAATGTCTCTTAAACAATATCACATCTCTGCTTCTTAAGGATTAAAATATCAATTTTATAAATAAAGGATCAATTATAAACATATTGGATCCTTTTCTATAAGAATACTCTTAAATGAGAATATATCATTATCAAAATTTTGTTTTTTGTGTATGCACTTAGTTAAAAATTTGATTCATAAAAAATGCTAGTCTTGAAATGGTAAGTGATAATACCAATTTTATATTTTCACTAATTGTTTGCTACATCATAATAATTTTTATCATAAAATTTTATTTTATATAATTGTTTTCCTTTAAAAATTCTATTTCGGACAATACTACATTTATCTTTCACAAATTTGATTTTATAACATAATTAATTTTATCACATCATAACAAATAAATAGATGAATTGCTTTTTAAAAATAAAAAATATAAATACTCAACTAATGTCACGAAATAATGAATTCTTTATTTGTACTAAATATTTTAACGTAGAATTTTTCCAAAATTTGAAATCATTATTAAATTTCTATTTTAAAATAAAAAGAAAGGTCAATTCATCATTAATAAAATTTGCCACATAAGCAACCAATAAAGACTTGCCATCTCACCTTAATATAGGCCACATAAGCTTGTCTTTTGGCGACTTTCTAGCAAACGGAGTCTCAAATATTATATTAAAGGATTATATTTTTTATAACTAAAAAGAAATTTTTATACAATCCTTTTTTAATTATGAAACATTATAAAAGCTTAAGTGAGATTGTAACAAAAAGCANAAATCATTATTAAATTTCTATTTTAAAATAAAAAGAAAGGTCAATTCATCATTAATAAAATTTGCCACATAAGCAACCAATAAAGACTTGCCATCTCACCTTAATATAGGCCACATAAGCTTGTCTTTTGGCGACTTTCTAGCAAACGGAGTCTCAAATATTATATTAAAGGATTATATTTTTTATAACTAAAAAGAAATTTTTATACAATCCTTTTTTAATTATGAAACATTATAAAAGCTTAAGTGAGATTGTAACAAAAAGCACTCAGCTTGGATGGTTAGGAACTCAACTAAATGACCAAGAGATCCTTGTTTCAAACCCCATGGTGGTATGCTTTTGGAAAAAAATTGCAAAAAAAGAACTGATCTAACCGGTCAAACCGATCGATTTGTCTAAAAGGGTGACATATCAGCTCGCCACATGTCGCGCTTTAACTTTGCCAAATGTCGCCACATGTTGTGCTTTAGCTCTGCCAAATGTCACGTTCTTATAGCTCCGACTCTGCTTTATATATATAAAGGATAACTTATTACTATTTCGGGCATCATTCCCAAGTTGTGTTTTGAATTACAAATTAAGTTTCCTCAACCGTTTTGATTTACTCCGATGGATTTTAAATGCTGTTTGATTTAAATGTTTTAAATTGCTTTGAAAGTAAATGATCTTTGGGTACCAACCTAGTAGCAACCCGGTTCGCTGATCCGAGTATTTGGGTTATGGGGGTTGGGATGTTACAGAAATCATCACTCTTCTCTCAATTGTTTGTCTAACTGGTGAAACCCGAATTCAAAACCAGTAACCTTCATTGATGAGTTTTAATGTTTATTTTCTTTGCAAGTTCTTGAGACTAACCGATAAAACTCATCCATAAAGCTTATTAATTTTGATTTTAGGTTCCACCAAGAAGACTAAGAATTGAGAGAGGAATGATCATTTCAGTTTTGAGTTTAGAGCTTTAAACTCAGCGACGAGTTTGGGAAAGAGTACGAGAGGAGGGAGGATGCTTAATTGAGGAGAGAGAGAAGTATGAATATACAATTTTATCCATGTCCTTAACAAAAATGTTAACAAAGGTCCATTTGTAAAAAATGATATTATAATTGGAGACTAAATTAGTAATATTTGATATGTAGTGACTAAATATGTAAAAGGATCTATCAGTAGGGACCTTTTATGGAATTTACACTTTTTTTCTTTCTTCTTCCTTTTTTGAATATTCTACTTCCTTTTTTTCTTTCTTGCGTTTCTTTTTTCTTTATTTCTTTGGTGGTTTGCTTTCTTTGTTTCCTTTATTTTTTTTTTACTTTTCAAGTTTACTTTTTTACTTTTTTGTTTTGAATTTTAGCTTTTTTGTTAATTAAATACATATTTATTATTTACGTAAATTTATAAAATAAAACTTTAATACTTTTATATGTACTTTTAAACTTTATAACAATAAAGTATATATATATTTTTAGTTTATGTAATTTTAATTAAAATATGTAAAGAAAAATATAAATGGAAGAAAAATAAGGATGGAGGTATTTTTTTAATCGAGTAATTGTATTTATTCATCATCTATTGCTCTTTTTTTGCACGATGTCAATGTAATTCTAAATTTTAATGCTAATGAAATATTTATATAATATTTTTAATTTAAGGAGTATTTATTTTAGTATATCAAAAAAATTAGGCTTGGTGAATGTGTTCCGCATCAAATGATCTTATCTTATTCATTTCTACTTCGACAGAATCACAGAACTCCCGGAAAAGAGGATCCGAAGCGAGAATTCTTCAGCGCTATGACTAAGCACCCACCACAATCATACATCATCATATCCAACGTCATCACTCATAGAGTTTATTTCTCTTGTTCCAAATTCCAATATAGAAAATGATATTGAAAAATGCTAGGGGTACACCAAAGGTGTGCCTTGGTGTACCCCATTTGTCCCCTACCCCCTCCATCACCACAAAAAAATGGCAAGAAAATAAAAAAAATAAAATAAATAAAATAAAATAAAATTGAATGGTGGAGAAAGGGGTGGAGGACAAATGGGGTACCCCAAAGGTGTACCCCTAGCATTCCTCTCTCATTCCTCGTGTCTCACTTTCAACAGCGTAGTCTCTTAGTCATACTCTCTCCGTCCTTAAATATTTATCACACTTCTATTACCAAGATAAAATATTATTATTTTTGAATTCATTTTATTTATATGTTTGGGTTAGAAATAAAAAATAAAATTTACATATCAAAAAACAAAATGAAAAGTTATTCGAAATAAGAGGTGTCAAGGTCGAATATTTTATTTTATCAAATAACTAATGAAAACGTAGAAATAAACAAAGTTTACGCGACTGTTGAAAAAAGAAAATGTAAGATATATTTTGGAACGGAGGGAGTAATTTAGATTATAAATACAGGGAGAATGCTACATGTACCCCAAAATTTGTACTTCATTTGTACACCAAATGTATGTACCAACATTTTGATGGTTTAAACTGACACAAAGTGTTGGTGCGTTAACAAAAACTTACATTGACACAAAGTGTTGGTGCGTTAACAAAAATTAGCATTACACCAACACAAAAAGTTAGTGCATCCCTGCAGTGTACAAAATGTGATACAAATTCTTGGGGTACAAATAACTTTATCCTAAATAAAGAGTTACGAACCAAATCTCTTGTTTTTTTGAAATTGTCTTATTTACAAATATGTACATTAAGAAACAATAAATATTATTTATTTAAAAAATACGTCAAAAACTATACAAAACAAGGAGTAAAAAATATTTTATTTTATCAAATAACTAATAAAAAACATAAATGAAAAAAATTATCGAGAGGCGAGAAAAAAATTGTACTCCCTCCGTCCGCCTAAGATCTTCTCGTTTTAATTTTTTGTGGTTTTTAAAGAGAGTTGAAAAAAGGTGAAAGTTTACCATAATACCCTTAATAAAAATGGATGGAGTGTATTAAATGAGGTGGGTGAGGTGTAATAAATAAAGTATGTGGGGGTAGTTGTGGTATTTTAATTGTTAAAAAGGTAATGAGAAGATCTATGGTGAACAAATAAAAATGGTTAATGAGAAGATCTATGGGGCACGGAGGGAGTAATACATTTAGGGATGGGTCACAGTGGGAGTATAAGATCTTATTTCTTCTAAATCTATTTTGTTTATAAATTGGTATAAAAATAAATTAAAAATTTTATATTTATAAAATACTCTCTATCCCAATTTATATTCATGTCTAGTATTCACAAGATCAAATTATATGACCACTTTGTTTATTCATTTTCGCTACTCATTTGATAAAATAATATAATTATCCCGCATCTAATTTTTTAAAATTTTTTATGTTGTTTTTAAATACATTAATTTTATTTTTTTAACTCCACACTAATTTTCAAATAAAATGAATTGAAATAATTTCAGTCAAACCTTGTAAATAACAACAGATAATTTATTGATCATAACAAAAAAAGGAAAATAAACAAAAATTATCAAGCAAAGAAGGTTCCGGCGAATTTTCGCTTGGAGCCTAGTGGACATGACAAGGTTAGGTCACATGATCGTTGTGTGACGACTGAACATTCTCCCCAGAGCAAAGCCTGTCAAGCAAAAGAGGAGGCACCCGGCCTAGGAGAGAAGAGATTTTCTAAAGAAGGTGGCGGCAACTCTTTAGGGATGCAATACCCGGAATGGTTGTCAAACGTGGTCCTGGAACCCAAGCCTCCATCTTGGAGGATGTGTGTCGATTACACAAACCTGAACAAAGCATGCCCTATGGATCCGTTCCCATTTCCAAACATTGATCAGATGGTGGACGAGACCGCACGGTCAAATTAATGAGTTTTATGGATGCTTTCAGTGGCTATCCAAAAATTCGAATGCATCTAGCCGACGCTGAGATGACTAGCTTTATGACCCCAGAGGGTTTGTAATGCTATTTAGTGATGACTTTTGGACTAAGGAATTTTGGGGCCACATACACCTGTATGGTCTCACAGGTGTTTAGGCTCCTTCTAAGGCAAACCATGGAAGCATATGTCGACGACATGACCATAAAGTTCAAAAAGGCTCGAGACCGTGTCTGAGACCTTGAAGAAGTTTTTAGTATTATGATGAAAGTAAACCTCTGGCTCAACTCCAAGAAATGCACCTTTGCAGTCCAGGTTGGGAAGTTCTTGGGACACATGGTGAGCCGGAAAAGGATCGAAGCCAACCCTGGGAAGGTGAAGGTGATCCTGGAGATGGAGCCACTGAAGACAACAAAGGAAGCGCAGTGTTTGACAGGAAGATTGGCAGCCCTGAATTGGTTCCTGTCTAAACTGGCTGAGAAGGCACATCCTTTCTTTGTTGCAATCAAGAAGAAGGCCACATTTGAGTGGACTCAAGAGTGCCAGGAGGCGTTCGAGGAGTTAAAAACGTATCTGACTAACCCACCAGTGTTATCCGAACCAGAGCCAATAGATGTGCTAGTCGTCTACTTAGCCATTCCAGACTATGAAGTGAGCACAGTGATCATGCGAGAGGAAGGAGGAGTCCTGCATCCGGTCTATTACGTTAGTAAAACACTTAGGGATGCTGAGCTGATATACTCACGCCTAGAAAAGGCGATGCTGGCAGCCTAATGGAAAGCGAAAAGGTTAATTCCCTACTTCCAGGCCCACAAAGTAAATATTTTGGCCAGGGAACCACTAACTTCACTCTAAAAGAGCCATGCGGCCTGGACCCGGATGAAGAAGTGGGCCGTGATTATTAGCTAGTAAAAAGTGGAGTTCAAACCACGCCCATCAATCAAAGGACAGGCGTTGGCCAACTTCCGTAACGAGTGCACGGAAAGAGAACTGGCGAGGTACCTGGAGACAATGTGAGAAGAGGTAAAAGGATGGTGGACAATGTGGATAGATGTATCCTATGGGGTAAAATCTTGTGGTGCGAGAATAGTATTAGCCAACCTGGAGGCCTTCAGAATTTATTGCGCAATCCGCTTCAACTCCCGAGTATTTAACAATGAGGCGAAGTATGAACCATTGATGAACGGACTGCGGATTGCACGCAAGGTGGGAGCAGTAAAAGTTTAGATTTTTAGAAACTCAAAGATTATTTTTAACCAAATTAATGGTGAGTTCGAGGAAAGAGAAGGGAGAATGCGGCAGTATCGGGACTATGCGCTCAAGATGCTAAATGGAGTTAAGTATAAGTTGCAGTATATCCCTAGAGAATCCAACACAAAGGCTAATGTATTATCTAAATTAAGTAAGGAAAGCCTGGAATACATCAGTAAGCTGGCCAGCATGGAAGAATTAGAGGCACCAAGCTTGATCAAGGGGGTGGTGGCTTGGGTGGCAGCAAACCCCCTAGAATGGTTGGATCGGCTGGCTAAGTATATTTATAATGGAGATGTTCCAGGGGATCCGTAGGAAAATAGGTTATTAAGGATGAGAGCCTCGAGCTATGTCATTCAAGAAGGGATCCTCTACAAGTGTTCCTATAACGAGATATTCTTCTACTACATCAAAAAATATACAAAACTAGTAGTGACAATAGTGCTTTATGTTATCAAATTACTAATGGAAATAGAGAAAGAAAGTGAATGAAGTTTCGCACTCTGAATAGTAACATTAGGGGTGTTCATCGGTCAAAACCCGGATCGGGATCGGACCGGGAGCGAATAAGCATTTGGTGGACCAAGGACCGGATCGATTAAGCTAAGGACCGGTCCGGGATCGGATCGGTAAAACCCGGACCAGATCAGGACCGGACCGAATAAATGTTATTTTTAATTTTTTTTAAATTTGATTTTATTTATTTAATTTAAAGTATTCAATTAAAGAAAAATATTACTACAACTAATTTTAAATTGTAGCATAAACTAAACATTGTCAAACACAGTTGTTTTGAATTTTTTATAACACTTTAAAAAATATATATATCTTCCATCCGTATTACATAAAATTTGTTCGTAATTTTTATTTTACATAGGGAATATTCTTCTTCTTAGTGAATTTTTGTTTTTTTGTAATATTTTTTTGAGTTTTCGATTTATTTTGACAAACGGACACACTTGTTACTTTTTTTTGTTCATGAGATTGTTTACAATATTTCTTTTTGCGGATTAGAGTTTCATTATTGATAAAATACAAATTTAAGTTATAGTATTGGTACATAAATTTGAAATGTATTAGATCGCGAATATAAAGGCAATGTTTACTTTTTCACACTTTTCATATTAAAAATATTTAAAAATCATTAGAATTGGTATCTTATTTTGAATTGAAAATGTATTTAAAAAGTTATACTCCCTCCGTCCCAAAAAGATTTACACGTTTCAAAAAAATTGCGTCCCACAATCTCCTACTCATTTTTATTAAAAAGCCACTTTTACCCTTTACTTTTTCAAATCCTACCTGTCACATCATACTTTTTTTCTAATAATTTACACATCACATCATACTTTTACCTATCACTTTTAGAAAGTCAACACAAAATTATCTCTCCCTTAATTTCTACTTTAGTCAAAATGTACTCATCTTTAGGCGTCGAAGAGAGTATTAAATAATAAAGTGTGAATGGAATCGTCCGGCTCAAGATATTATTTACTACAACTATTTGAATACACATTTTGTGGTTCAATACCATCCCATATTGTTGGTTTGGTTCAGAACAATGTCTTCTAAGTATTTTTGCCCACCGTCTATTCTTCAATGGAATGGGAAATGGAATGTGTTAATTTTCAATGTTGTCTTACTTTATTTTAGAGTAACATAAGAAATGATCTGTAGAGTCGTAGACTAACAATGAATGAATATCTTTTGGTAAGTAGGTTAAAAATTACTCCGTCCTAATTTATAGTGTCTGTTAGTGACAATAATAATTTATGCTATCAAAAGCCCTACAAAACTACCTGGAATATTCTACTATTACATCAAAAGATCTACAAAACTAGTAGTTACAATAGTACTTTATTTTATCAAATTGCTAACGGAAATAAAGAAAGAAAGGCAATAAAGTTTCACTCTGAATAGTAAACATGCATTATTATAAATTGAGACAGGAGGAAATAATATGGAGCAATACAACAACAACAACCCAATTAAATCCCACAATATGGACCAATAATGAAAGTGAAAATAAAAGTACTCCTAATTTTTAAACCGTTGAAAAAACAAAAAGCGAAAGACTTTTTTGAGGGGATGAACTACCTGGAATATACTCCGTAGTACCCACGCATTTGCGCTATATATATAATATATATATATATATATATATATATATATATATATATATATATATATATATATATATATATATATATATATATATATATATATATATATATAGGGCCGGTCCCGAAAAATGAAAAATTAAATTTGGCCCGGTCCTAAATTTACATTTTGGACCCTATTTTAATTTTTTAAAATGCTTTTTTCTTTAAAATTATTAACAAATTTAAAATTATGAGGCCCTAAGATTTTAGGGGCCCTGTGCGGTTGGCCACTTTGCACACCC